TATATATATAATGGAAAAAAAAAACATGTAAGTGAAGAAACATTGTTGACATGTTGGAATTATTAAGTGTTGAAAATCTTGAGTGAAATATGTCGAGAAGATTATGTCTTTTAACAAATATTAGTAGCTATTGAATCAAGTAAGATAATTTGTTTTATAACCATTTTAAGGGAAAAATAATAAAATAATTTTGTTTATAAGTTAAAATTAACTGCTGTAAAAAAATTAAAATTAACTTAAGTGTAAATTAATTTGTAGAAACTATTTTCTATTAGTTTCTAAAAGAAAAATTAACTTAAAAATAAGCTAATTTTATCTTATGAAAAAAATTATTTCGAATTTTCTATTTATTACTATTTTTTCCTAAAACTGCTTATAAAGAAAATTATCGGAACAAATCTTATATCTATAGGTATTGTAATCATAATTCCTTGAGAACGCAATTGATATAATTAATTTTTTTATTAATTTAAAATATTTCTTTTTATTTTAAATATATAAAATTAATATTTTAATATGTGTAATATACGGGACAAATTTTTATTATATATAACTAAAATTATAAAATATTTAATAACATGACACTATTTCTGCATTAAATTACCTTAAACATAATGCATTTATAAAATGTGAAAAATAAATAAATTAAGGTTTAAGTAATAGGGTTAAGGTTCTCTTAGAGAAGTATTAGGGAATATATAGTGTAATGAGACAAAGCCTGCATGCATTTAATAACAATATTTATTTTTGTTTATACATTACCAAAAATAATTATTGACTTCTGACTAACAACTTCACGCAGTGTATTATCCATAAAAATCTGGTTCAACTTTTTTTTTTTTTTTTTTGAATATGTGATCTTTTGTATATTTTTAAAACAAACAAATTGTGTATATCAAATGCAGAATAAAAGTAAAACCAATTAATTTGCTTATATATATTTTTTTCACAAAGATGTGTAAGACTAGCTTAAAGCTAGCAAGTTATTTTAATTTTATCGCAAAGAAAGTGCAAGACATAAAGGTAGCTACAAGAAAGAGGGTTTTTTCCTTCCCGTGTGAACCAAAGTATTTTCCAAATTGGTTGTTAAAGAATAAGTTTCCCGGTATAGAACTAAAGTAAACTCCATTTCTGCTAACAAAGTGTTTTCTATATACATAATCATTAACTGTGTTGGTTGTATTGCATGATTAATTTTTGACAATTCGTGATGGGTTGATTTTGATATTGAAAATTTACTCAAGGGATTTAGTTCAATCATTATCGGTCTCAATCATTTAATTTATCAAGTGTTTTTAGCATGTTTAGTAAAAAACTAAAATTGTTTAATAAAAATATTGTGTTAAATGTAGAAACTTAGGTTCTAGATTCAAATATAATTATTTTCTTAATTAATAATCTTTCCTCCCTATAAAAAAAATTTGTGAAACTTAAAGAAAACTTATTCTTAATTTTTAAAAATATTTTATAAACATTTTTTTTATAATTATGTTATATTGGTACGAAATATTTTACTAAAAAATTAGACCGATTATGTTTAATGAAACTTTTTACCTAACACTTTTTTTTATTCATAAAATTTGAAATCAGGAACCTGTTGAAGAAACTGAATTTAATATCTCTTGTAACATGCTGAAAATTGAAACGAAAGAACAGCTCGAGCGTGTAACACTTTATTTACCTAAGTGACACATTTCACTGTTCACATTAAGAATTCGGTTTCAGGGAACTGAATTTTGAGCTATTAATTTTTTTTTTTGCGTTTTTGATCTGAGCATGTGTAAAACTGGATCCGGAATGGCCCGTTCTAACCTTGTAGAACGGCCCATTCTCCTTTTAGAATGGGCCGTTCCAGATGCAAAAAATACACACATGACGAATGAATGAAAATGAGTTGTTCTGCTTGGACGTTCCAGTTTCAAAATTAACAGACTACCCGTGCAAGCAGAACGACTCGTTCTGCTTGGAGAACGGGTAGTTCTAGTTGCAACATGAACACACAACCTGAACTACAAACAGAAAAGGGAAAAAAAGTTTAAATACTACTTAGAATTCGGTTTCCCGGGAACCGAATTCTGAGCAATAAAAACAACAAAAAATAAATTGAAGTTCAGAATTTGGTTCCTGGAAAACCGAATTCTGAGTGTGAACAGTAAACGGTGCTATTTCTTAAATAAATTGGAACAGGTGTTGTTTTGATAAACTTTTTTAAAAAAAGATTTATTTCAATAAAAAATTCCACACATGACAGAAGAGAAGATATCTATGTTTAGATTATGTGGGGGAGTGGATGCCGCGGAGTGCAAGGGTGGTATCTAATAAAGTTCTTTATGTTTACTTTTTGCTTCTTAATTTCTACGGTTTCCTTCATGCGGAGCAGAGATCGTTGATTTCTTTAATTTCCTTTTCGACAGAATGTGAAAATGATCGAGTTCATGCTTTTCACAAAAAACTAGAAAGTTTGATAGAAGCTTCTAACATAGAGATCAGAGCGTATGAAAACCATATTCTCACAGTATATTTCTTTTTTACTTTTTATACTTCTCAAATCAAGGGTACATTTAGAAAGAAAACAACTTAAATTAGCTTTAAAATATTTAGGATGATTCGGTAAATTTCACTTTAAAATAAAATATGTATTTACTGAAAAACCGAACATGTTTTGTGATGGAGGTGATGATATTTATAAAAGCTTCTATGTTAAGTAACGAAAACTCTAGAGCCAGGTTCTACTTCCCACACCAACTATAATTAGTATTACAGCTAAATAATCTAGCTCCTGATCAACACGAATATTACTGCCTAACTCCATAATAAAAGAAATAAATTGGGTTCTTGCATGTACTACTTTTTTTAAGGAAAAAACATAGACAGAAAGAAATCGATGTTTAATTTTCAAAAGTATAATATTCTTAGCGGCAAAGAAGGATATTAGAAGACCAAAATATTTAATATTCTTATCACTACAAGAAAATTGTCATATAGTGATACACATCCTATAGTAACATAATACGTGTCACTAAAAATTACTTTTATCCACACAATAAATATGATATATGTTGGTATATTGTTAAAAAATGTAAGTATAGACTATAATGATACACAAAATATGTTGTTAAATCTTATTCAAAATAAATACTAAAATTATATGTAGCTATATGTCGAATAAGTATATACTTATATATATTATACTTATAGTGACACTTTTTGTATATTATCTTTTTGTATATTATTGTATGAAACAATTTTTGTAATGTACAAAAAGTCTAAACTACATAGAAAAAAAAGATTATTGCATGTAAACGCTTCACTTAAATTGATCGTCATTTGCCGCGGTTTGTATTTCAACTACAAATATTGTTTTCGTTTTGTTCTTATAGAATTCTCTTTAGTACTTCATGTTCTAATTTAATTCGGTTACAAAATTTAAAGTGGTTTATGATTTAAAAGCAAAGTGAGAAAGCATTATCCATATCTCTATAGACAGATGTAATGGTGGATCGTGAAGTAATGTATTATTTTCCATCTTTCTTATTCTATATTTGTCGAAGGTCAACCATGTATAAGATTATTTAAAATGCATAATAAGTTATTTTATTTCTAAAACTCCACTAAATTGTATAGAGATAAAAAAAAAACTTGTAAAACATGTGTACACCAAAATGTCATATGTTATTTTTATATATTGTAATGTTATAGATAATTCAAAATCACTCCAAGGAAAAAAAATCCTTATTTAAGATATTACCAATACTAAATTTGAATTGGTAAATAAATAAAATAATTTTATGAGTTGTTTGATTTATGAAAGAAAGATAAAAAGAAAGAAAGCAAAAGGAAATAAAA